TCTTCGCGTAAATCTCTGTGTTATTTATTTTGCTACTTTATTTCATTATTGTCATATCTTGCTATCCGTATTTATAACAGTTTAATTGATCAAGATTGGGGTGCCATCGGTGGCGGTGTCTGTGAGGAATTTTGGAAAAGAAACAGAAATCTATCCAATCGAAGGTAGTTTCAATTGTGGTGTTTAGTGATGGCAAAAAATTTCCTCGCCCCGTCCCTCCCTGATGGGTTGGCGGCGTGGAGTGGGGCAGGATGGGGCGCCCCGTCGCGGGGCGCGGCCTCGACCCCACCCCTGATTTTTTTTAAGTTATATTATTATTAGATAATAAAATACAAATGTAAAATTTTAATTAATTACAAAAGAAATAAAATTTAGTCAAAACATAATTTTATTTGAAATTGTTTAATTTTTAACATTGTTTATTTCAAGTGTTTACTTTGAGTTTTAAAATTTTGAATTTATATTTTATTCTCTAATAATAACATAATTAAAAATTTTAAAAATGAAAAAATAAATAAATTAAACAGGCCGACAAATGGGGCGTGGTCTCGCCTCGCCCCGTTTGAGGCTGGGCGGGGCCTGGGTGGGGAGTTGCCGGGGGGGAGGGTGTGCCCCTCCCCTGAACCCACCCCACTGTCATCCCTAGTGGTGTTGACCGGCAATGGTGCTGGTTGTTGAAGGGGGTGGAGGAAGAAGATGAAATTTCGTTTTCATTTTTCCTTTTTAATTATTTTATTTTATGTAACTATGTAAAGTTAAAATTGAATAAAATGAGGTCAAAATCTATTTTTTTAGGTCAATAGACGGCAGATTGGGTGTAAACCATTCATTGGGAGCTTCAACTGCAATGTTTCAAAATGTTAGGGGTCAAGGCTGCAACGATTAAAAGATTTGGGGCTCTACTACAATTATCCTTAAATTAGGCATCAAAACGTAACATCACAAAGTTAGATCTTGTTTGGTATGGGTTTTACTTTTTGTAGAAGAGTAGCTCATGAGAAAGCTATTTTAAACTAGCTTTCATTAAAAGTTATTTTAGTCAGACAAAACTCTTTCAAAACGTTATACAAATATGTTAAAAATCAACTTTTTAATCTCATAATCAGCTTTTGACTTTTCAAAAATCTTACCAAATGAACCTTTAAACACGCAAGGATTATTGGTATCGGTTATAAGATCAATTTATTATTTTTAGAAGTCAAAGGCCAAACTTCCTATCTTCACAAAATATTAGGAAGCCGTAGTGCAATTTTCTCAAAGAGATAATTTAATCAATGATCATTGAACTTTGATCCAAGTTATTACTTGTTAACCAATTTTTAAAAAGTTATTCGTTGTTAACTGAACTTTGCTATAGGTTGCTATCTACTCATAAAAATTTAAAAAGTTACTTGTTGTTCATTTGCATTTGAATAAAGTTATTCATTACTTACTAAATCTTGTTATAGGTAACACTTTTAGTAATGATATGAATGATTGATTGGTAATTTTGTTCAAATTTGAGTGAAAAATGGATAATCTTTTAAATTTTCGCCAGCAAGTAATAATCTATAACAAAATTTAGTAAGCATCGATTAACTTTTAAACATCGATGATCAAGTAATAATATATAACAAAATTCAGTGACCATTGATTAAATTAACTCTTTTTCAAAATAAGAACCAAACAGATTCTTTCGCTGCACGGGTGAAACGAGTGCTTTGGATCGGCTCCATTGACACCAAGAGGAAATGGTGGGCAATGGCTGCCCCCCCCGGTATGTTTTCCATAATAGCCTTTGACCAAGTAATTTGTTAAAAAAAAAAAAAAAAATGTAAACAAAATGTGGAGGGTCGAAAATACCCTCATTTAGAGGAAAGAAGAGAAGAGAAAATAGAAAGAAAAAAGAAAAGAAAAAAGGGAAAATCAGCTACCGACCATTTCCTCCATCGCCTACGGACTGCCCGGACCTCACCAACTTCGACCAAGACCAGAGCCACCTCGGATTCGCCGGAGACCGTCATTTTCTTGAAGGTTAGACATGTTTTCTATAAATAACTACTTTGAATTTGTGAAAGTTTGAATGTTTAGGATATGAATATGGGTTAAATTCATGTTTCTATAGTTAAAATGTAAGAAAATATCGAATTTGAGGTTAAAATCTTGAAAAAAAGTGAAAAAAAGGGGCAGAGCTCGCCGGAAATGGAGTTTCCGGCGA